TCCAGGCTCCTGGGGTGTCATTTTCTCTGTTCCTGAAATCCTGCCTGTGTGATGACACAAGGATTTGGAGAGTAAACAAGAGTTTTCTGTCGTGCTTGGCTCGATGGGGGTTTTTTTTTCAGCACTCCTGTAGGATTTTGTTCTTCATCCACAGCCCCTGCTCATTTTCCTGCTCTTTATGGCGTGTAAGAGCAACATAATAACTGGGGTTAACTCACTTGCCACCCTAATTTATCAAGGCCTCGTGAGCAATGGTTGCTATTTACTCCTTTGGATTTCTATGGAATCTGAAGGGCTTTTATTTTGGGTTGTTTTGGTGAACAAGCCTCCTCCTGAGGATTACGAGTGGCTTCCCACGGTGCCTCCAGAGCTCATTTCATGCTCAAAAAAACAGAGCTGGTGGGGGCAGGAGCTTGGTGAGCCCCATCCAGCCCAGCCCCTGCCTTTGCTGGAGGCTCGTGCTGGCTGAGGACCAGTGACTGAGCCCTCTGCTTTTAAAGCAGAAGCATCTCTCCAGTAAATCTCTCCAAAGTTGTGGATTTTGTACCTTATCCTCATCCAGGTGTTGGGGCTGGTGAGGAACTGGCAGAGCCACATCCAGACACCCCAGGACTTGTCCTCTGTCTGCTGTGGGCAACCTGGGTGCCAGCACCTTACTCCTGCCTGAGCAAACCTTCCTCTCCTCCCTTCCAAGGAGAAGAGTTCCCTGGAAAACACCCATCCCATGGCAAGACACCCTCCTGTAGCCCAGAGCACCACGGTGATGCACCATCCTAGGAGCCCACGTGCTCCTGGGGAGGGGGCTGGAGAGCTTTGGCCTCCCCAGGAATATCCCAGGGTGGAGTTGGGAGCTTTCCACAGTGAGGAGGGGAGCTGGATCCGTGCTGGGGCTCATCCCAAAGCCCATCCCAGGCTGTTTGTGTGCTCCTGTGGATTAGAGCAGCCGGGAACGTTGTCATTGTCCTCTTGGCTCAACGAGATGGAACAGCTTGTGCTGTTTTGCAGCTCTGCTTGATGGGGCACTGAAGTGAAATTAAAGGGAAAAAAAATCCAAGCAGAGCTGCACCAGCCTGTCACACACACATCCCAGTCCCCTCTGCTGGCTGGAACCTGGCTGCTGGGGGAGCTGGGGACCTCAGGCCAAGCGTGAAGGTGTTGGAGCTGCTCCAGGAGCTGCCTGGCCCTCACCGTGCTCCCCTGGCTGATGTCCCCCCTGCCAGCCTTTCATGAGCTGTGTGGATCTCTCCTGGCCACCCCACTCGGGGCTGCAGCCATCCTGTCACTGTGCTGGCACCTCCTACCTGCCCCTGGTGCTTGGAGGTGACCCTGTGCTCACCCAGCTTTGACTGCTCTCCTTCCCTTTGCACCTCCTCCTTGCTGTGATGTTCCCTCTTGGGTTTTTTCCTTTCTAACTTTGGTGCTGGCAGCTTTCCCTGTGAAGATGCTTTTTTTTTGGGGGGCTCAGAGCAACGTCCTTGCTGTCCCCACTTCTGCATTGTCCTCTCCTGCTGTGCCCATGGTTGCTCTGAACGTGCCCTCTGAGGCTGTGGAAGAGGGAGCTGATCCTAAACACAGCAACAACCAGAAGATGATGAAGAGTGGAGGAGGACAGACTAAAGAGAAGGAAGAAATTTTGGATGCTGAAGGTGCTGAGCCCCTGGCCCAGGCTGCCCAGAGAGGTGGTGGCTGCCCCATCCCTGGAACCATCCCAGGGGAGGTTGGTTTGGGCTCTGAGCAAGCCCTTTGTGGGGGGGTTGGACTAGATGACCTTGAAAAGTCCCTCCCCACCCAACCCAGCCTCTGATTCTATGACAGGATGACAGGGGTGACCTTCCAGCCTGGTTATCCTTTTCACTTTGAGGTTGGGAAGCTTTGTTTCCTTTCCCTTTCTTGGAAAACAAGCAGAGAGGAGAAGGTGCCTTTGCAGTGCACGCTGCTGACTGAGAGGTTTGTAGCTGATCCTGAAGTTAGTGCAGGATTAGGCTGATCCCTGTAATGCCTTATTGGCATCAAGAGTCTTGCACTTTTTATGTGCCCAAGAGAGGCAAAATCCCTTTGTTTTGGTTAAATAGAAGCATTTTCTTGACAGCAGCTGAGATTGGATGTATTTTTCTTTCTTTCTCCTGCAACTCTCAGCCTGGTGCCTTCACCATGTGAGCCCCAAGAGGGTCGTGTGGACCCTTTGGCTCTTCCAGCTCTGTTAGTAATTGCCAAAGGGGTTGGCAACTGGTTTGGCCACTGGTTTGGCCACTGAAATCCTCAGAAAAACTGTCTCTGATGTGGGTTTCTTGTGGGACCTGCACGCCTGCCTTCCTCCCTCCTCCTACACCCCAAGCTTGGGGGGGTTTTGCCTTGCCCTCCACAGAGTGGTGGCCCCCTGTAGATCTCCCCATCCTCCAGGGTTGCCCAGGACCAGGCTCTTCTGCCTTTGCTTGTGGTGGTGCCAGGAACCAGACCATGAAAATCTTTGTGGATCTGTTGCTGACCTGCAAACCAGGGTTGGTTTGAGGTTTGACATCTTCTTTGGGAGAGGCTGAGGAAGGGCTGAAGTTAGTGTGTGATCTTGGCAGGCTTTTCTAAACCAAATCCTTGAAACACATCTCAACAATGAGTTCAGTGTGTCATGGTATCTACTCAATAGACTCAGAGGCTTCCCAGGGGTCAGCAGTACCTGGGGAACATCTCTGATTTCAGCAGTACCTGGGGAACATCCCTGATGTGGTCCCTGCTCTTTCTGGGACCATGTATGACACCAGAATGGGGCTCAGCAGCCTGTGGATGGAGTCGTGCTCGATCTGGTCTTACCCCAGCTCTCCTCTCCTCTTGAGGGAGGTGAGGACCTGGAGGAGCCCATGGCCAGAGGCTGTTGTGTCACCTCTCCATGCTGGTGAACATCACCTTGCTGCAGAGTCCCTTGTTGGCTGCTTCTCCCTCTCCAAAGCAGCCTTTCACTACGCACCATCTGTTGATTTTTAATTCCCCATCATTTGTTTCCATGTCTGTGTGATCTTGTACTTTCATTAATTGTGCTGCTGAGTTTCTTAGTCTGGGAAGTCAGGGTGGGTTTTTTTTCCCCCCTCTCTGTCAAAGCTATTTTTTCCTCTTCCCACCAAGAAGTGCTTTTGTCCTTTGGATTTTGCTCTCTGGGCCAGTCTTGCTTCAAAAGGAATCTTTTGGGAGAGCCAGACTCATGAGTGTGGAGCTTCAGCACAGCCCTGGGCACAGGCATGAAATGGCTTTAAAAAGATCTGCCTGCAGAGCAGAGACCTTCAAAACCAACACCATGGGCAGCCCCCCTGGCTCTGCCTCTGCCCCTGGGGCTTGCCCATGGAACTGTAGAGTCCTTTTGGTTGGAAAACACCTTTGAAGATGGAGTCCAACCCTTCCCCCAGCACTGCCAGGTCCCCACTGCCCCGTGTCCCTCACACCACATCTCCACAGCTTGGGAACCCCTCCAGGGGTGGGGACTCCACCACTGCCCTGGGCAGCCTGGCACAGCCCTGGGCAACCCTCCAGGGCAAGAAATTGTTCCTCAGCTCCAACCTCAACCTCTCCTGGTGCAGCTTGAGGCTGTTTCCTCTTGTTCACTTGTTCCCTGGGAGACCAACAACCCCATCTCCTGGGCAGGTGATCTTGGGGCAGCGTGAGAACCTTTCACAAGAGCTTTGCACAAGTGTGGGATCCCTCCCAGGTCTGACAGGTGCCCAGGTTCCATCCAGTCGTGGTATTTTGGGGCTGATTCAGCCCCTCCTTACCCCTGCACGTTGGCTGCTCTCCTCCCTCTCCACCCTGAGCCTTGGCACGAGCCTTGGACCAGGGCTCTGAGGAGCTGCTGAGGGTTTCAGTTTTGGACTGGAGGAGGCAAATGCCCTGAATCTCCCCGTTCCTGCTGCTTTCTGTGGTGTGTTTCCAAGGCAACTGGAAATTCAGAAGACCACAAACACACTCGTGTGTCTTCTTCTGAGACCTTATCCTCCAGTACACAGGTAAACACTCTCCCTGACATTTTCAACCTAAGTGTTCATCTGAAGGGTCCCCACTGTCCCCTCGTGTGGCTGCCAGCAGCCCTGGGGGATAATTGTCACCTTTGAAGGCTTGGAAAGTCCAACCAGCTCCACAAACAGGTTTCCTTTTGTTCCTTGAGTGTTTTTTCCCCCCCCACCTCAGAGGGGAGCAGCAGAGAGGCTGCAAAACCAAAAATGGGGATTTGCAGCAAAGGGGAGGAAAAAGTAGCAGTGGTTTGATGTTTTCTGGAGAGATTGGTGGGTTTTTTTTCTCCAAGAGGGACAAGGGAGCTGTGCCAGTGATGGGAGGGTAAGAAAAGTTTGAGAAAGGGCAGGAGGGGAGCGGGGAAGGCTGGAGCAATTGTCCCTGAGGAGCTGCTCTTGGGAAGGCTCCTCAGCTGGTTGTGTTTATGAAATGTAACCTAAAATAATCAGTGAAACAGAAATTTCTGGTGGGGTTCCTTCTGCTTTGGAGACTCTCTGTACAAGCCTTGTGCTGGTGTTTGGGCAGGGAGAGAGCAGAAACCAGGGAGGTGGCAGGGCTGGGAGCCTGGCAGGGGCTTGGTGCAGCTCTTGGGGGCTTCATGGGGGAAGTCAGAGTTTGGTTCTCACCCGTTTGACCTCGCAGAGGTTCTTCTCTGAGCCTTTCTGAACAGGTTTTGGTGGTTTATGTTGTTCTGCCCTTCCTTTCAGCTGCTGAGGGTCGTGGTCTTTTCCCCTCCAGCATATTTAGCACAACAGAGATCTCTCCTCTCTGTGTTGCCTGCATGAGAGACTCCAAATTTGAGTTCATAGTGGGGAAATAACCCTGGGCAGGCTCTTGCATTGAGCTTCAATGAAATGCATTCAGGTGAAAAGGAGAAAGGCAATGACCTGGCCTGGGGTCCTGCTGTCCTGTCACACCAGCCTGTGCTCCTAGAGCTCAGGATGGAGGCTCAGCCTGGGGGGATTGTCACAGGCTTTGACCTCACTGGGTTTTTTCCCTTCCTGTTTCAGAGGGTCTGGCAGTGGGAGTTGGATTCGGGGCTGTTGGAAAATCAGCATCTGCGACCTTCCAAAGTGCCAGGTAAGCCACGGGCACTCCTGCCCTGCAGGCAGGGGGGTTTTGGGGCTACACCTCTGCCCCTGGGGAGGTGCTTTGGCTCTGTCCCACGTCTCTACCGAGCCAGGGTGCTTGGAGAAACGTTGGCTGAAAGCTGTTTGGCAGCAGAAGGAGCAGGAGGAGCAGAAGCAGCTCCTAGTGCTGTTGCATTTTCCTGGTGGTTGTGGCTCCTCAGCCGTGACAGCAACGCTGAGATTTTCCACAAAAGCAGCAGCCCCCAAGGGGTAGGAGCAGCTGCTGGGGAAGCGTGTGGTGGCTTTGTTTCCATTCCTGCCAAGCAGGGCTCCCAGACTCTGGCACTGGTGAGATAAAAGCTCCTCATCTTCCTTCTCCCTGCATCCCTGGCTCTGGTTTTGGCAGCGTTGCCCCCACGCTCCTGTGCAAAACCTTTTTTGGGCTTCTCTCTGGTGTGAATCTAGGGGGTTAATCAGCTCCTTTAAAGTCCCTGGGTGGGGGTTTGGGCTTCAGGTGCATTGTCACACCAAGCTAGAGGCAAAACCTGGCTGTGGAGGGTGGGTGGAGGCAGGGAGAGCCCCGCTGCTGCCCCACACCACTCCCCCAGATGAGCTGAACCCGGGGCAGTGCTGAAGAAATGGGAGAAAGGAGAAGTCTGGTGTGAAGGAGGAGCTCTGGAAGAGCTGCTGGCACCTCTCTGCGGCTGGCTGGCAAACAGCACCCTGCTGCTGAGGCTCCTGGACGTGTGTGAGCACAGGATTCTCTTTATTCCTGCTTGGATTTCTCTCTGGAGGCTGGGGGCACAGCACGTTTCCTTCACCCTTTGGTTCTGCTGCAGCTGATGTGGTTTGGGGACAGGCAGTGAGGTCAGTCTGGGAGTAACCTGCCCTTGGGGAGGAAAGTGCTTTGAAGGACAAGGGGGGATGGTTGGGAACTAAAAGAGGGAGGTTCAGACTAGGTGAAAGGAAGGGATTTTTAAGCTATGAGAGTGCTGAGCCCCTGGCCCAGGTTTCCCAGAGAGGTGGTCGCTGCCCCATCCCTGCAACCATCCCAGGGGAGGTTGGATGAGCTCTGAGCACCCTGCAGATGTCCCTGTCCCTGCAGGGGGTTGAACTCAGTGACCTTTAAAGACCCTTTGCCACCCAACCCAGCCTGTGATTCTACAAGGACCCTGCAGAGCCAGGAGTGAAACCTTCTGTACCCAGCACCCTGTTACATCCCGATGGGGACCCCTCCTGACCTCACAGGCTGGCCCTGCCCTGGGACACCTCCATGGCAGCAGATGCCCTGCAGATTTGGGTGAGAAGAGCAGGATGCAGCAGCTCTAGACACCGTGTTTCACTAACCTTTTGAAAGAAAAGGCTCTTCAGAGAGTCTGTAGAAGCCCTAGAGATGCTTGAACAAAGGGACGTTTCGCTGTCAGCTGCTCGGTCAGAGTTAAGAAGCCAGCAGCAGCTGGTTCTTTCTCTGTCTTTACAACAGCATTAATCATGTTAGATGAAAGGTGGAGCCTGCACCAGGAAAATACCAATGCAAATGCAGTCAGCTGGGAAAGGAGACAAAATAACTCCCTTGCCATCCATCTGTCTGTCCCTGTCATCTGCGGGCAGCCCCGAAATCGCTCGGCGTGGCTGCTCCGCCCTCAGGCCTTCTGGGAATAGCCCAGAGTGAAGTTGTAGGTGGCTAATTGGTGTTAAATAGGCTTGAAAAGGAGTAGGGGATTGATGAGGGAGAGAGCTGACTCTTCAGACCCATCTGAAAGGGCACGTTGGTCCTTGGCCAAGCTCAGCTCTTCGGGGACACGACCGTCGCGCTCCCCCTCTGCCCATTGATTGGAAATAGTATTTTAATGAGCCCTGTGACTCAGTTTACCTCCTCCATGCTGCTCCTGCCTCCCCCTGGGTGGGACTAAAACTGCCTCAGCACTGAGCTGAGCTGGAGCTGCTTCTCAGGGAGGTTTGTTCCTTCCAACCCTGAGTCGTGCAGAAGGGTTTATGAACGCTCTGATGCTCTTGGAGCCTGAAGAGGAGATGCTGAGGCCTGGGGATGCTGAGAGATGATTCCAGGGTTGGCTGTGACTTGTCCACACTCACCAAAGGACCTTCCTCCTTGCCTTGTGCCCAGTGAATAAACTCTGGCTTGCATTGCCTGCTTGCATTGCTCCCAGAGGGGGAAATCCCAGCAGGAGATCACCACAGGAGTTAACACCCTGTTCCCCAGACCTCACAGGCATCCCTGGAGGCTGGTTGGAAGATTTCTTGGGGTGCTACAGAGCTCCTGCCCCAGCCCTGTGCTTGAGGCTGTGCTGTTGCAGAGCTCAGCCCCAGCTCAGCACGTTGAGGGATCATTTTGGGGGTTTTCAAGCCCAGGGGAATTGGGTGTGCAGCAGAGATGGGGCTGGTTGGGAGCTGTGGTAGCTGGTGAGCTCTGGCAGGGTGGTGCAAGCAGAGCACTGCAGGCATAGACCTGCAGCTGATGGTTTGAGTCAGGGGGTGCTTCAGGGTTTGCTTAAAAACTAGAAAAGGATGCTCAGGGAGCAGGGTGGGATTCTTGGCTTTTAAAAACAACTGGTGCTTTGCTTGGGCTGGCATCACCTCTGCCATTCCCACGTCCCAAGGGATAGGACAAGAGGAAATGGCTTCAGGTTGTGCTAAGGGAGGTTGAGGTTGGAGCTGAGGAACAATTTCTTGCCCTGGAGGGTTGCCCAGGGCTGTGCCAGGCTGCCCAGGGCAGTGGTGGAGTCCCCACCCCTGGAGGGGTTCCCAAGCCGTGGAGATGTGGTGTGAGGGACACGGGGCAGTGGGGACCTGGCAGTGCTGGGGGAAGGGTTGGACTCCATCTGAAAGGTCTCTCCCAACCCAAACGATTCCATGACTCAGTGACTCTCTGGGTTCTGGTTAGGGTCCTGCCCCTCCTCTCTGTGCCTGCAAGGTCCAGCAGCCCCTGGGCTCCTCCTTCCAGCCGGGTGCTGCCTGCCAGGCTCCTGCCAGGCTCCTGCCCATGCTCATCCGTGTTTCTTTGCTGCCCCCGGGTGTGCAGCTCTGTTCCTGCGATCTGGCTCTGCCAGATCATGGCCATTTGTTCTGTTTAGGGCTTGTGGCATGGGGAGGAGGGGACACCCTGCCCCTCTGGCCTGGCAGGAGGTGCCAGAGAGCCTCAATCCATGCCCGAGCAGGTCAGGTCTCGGCGCTGGGGCTGGAGCTCTGCCCCTGCCCCCCGGGTGGGTGCTGATTCTGCTTCACCTTGGCACCTCAGCCTCTGTTGGAGAGGTGGCACAAGCTTTGTGGTGGCTTAGAAGGGATTTAGGATGACTTCATGTCTTCTTTTGGGGTGTTTCCCCCAGGGGGCTGAGCCTTGGCTTGTCCTTGAGCAGCAGCAGGCTGCTGCTGAGCATCCCTCCCACCCTGCTGTGGGTCACCTGCCTGGTTCCTCACGTGGATAAAACCAGCCAGAAGTCCCACGGGCTGGAAAAAGCAGCTGAGGACAAAGCTGGCGTGGTGACAGAAGAGTTGCTGAGACCCCAGTGCCCAGGGTGAGGTGTGGTGCCCCTGCAGAGGAGCAGTGCCCAGCCTGGGGTGTGTAGCAAGCCCCCAGGAGGAGTAGGTCCCCTCCAGATGTGAGCAAGGAGCCAGGAGCTGCTCCTGGCTGCCATCCAGGCAGGAAGGTAAAGAGAAGGGCAGCCATGTCTTAAAAAAGCTGCTTTACCTCCCCCTCTTTGCACTCTGGAGCGTGGGGGGAGGAAACTCTCTCCACCTTGTGTGGCTGATTTAACAGGAACCAGATGGGGCTGGAGCTGCTGAGATCAAGATGGGCTGAATGTGCATTTTTCTGGGCTGCCCTGGGGTTGGGGGGCAGACAGGGGGGCCAGGCAGGGCTGGCCAATGCTGATGCACTTTGTTGGTGGCTTCCCTGGGTGTAGGAAGAGGGACAGGGCAGGTCCCAGCTGCACATCTCCATCCGTGTGGAGGGGAACAGTGTGTGCTGGGGCTGGTCTCCCTCTCTCCCAGTCCTTGAGGTGTCTTTTAGAGGACCAGAGCACCTCCAGATGGACCCTGGGGTGACCCTAAGCTCCTCATCCTTGGGGGGTTATGCCTGTGGTGCTGGGCAGCTGCAAGGTGGGGGCTGGCAGGGAGGAGATGCCCCATGCCCACTCCCCATCCCTTCCCTCAAGACCTTCCTGGGTGCCACTGCCTTGGCACCCCAGGAGCCTGCAGCATCTCCACTCCTGCATCCCCTCCCCACAGCCCTGGAAACACAAGATGGGGTCCCCAGGGACCCTCTCTTCTCCTCCCCTCTTGTCTTGTCAGAGGCTTTTCCTCTGGGAGTCAGCACCAGGGGCTGGTTCTCCCCTGCCCATCCCACCCAGCACCACGCCTTGGTGTGGGTCTGGGGGCAGCAGAGGTGGGTCCTGGAGGATCCAGCAGGGATGCAGGAGCCTGGTTCTGCTTCTAGCCCCCTGCAAATCCCCCATGTGCCATTTGCTGTCAGAGAGCAGGAGGCAGCTTGTGCCCTACACAGACACCCAGAAGCCAAATCCCTTTTTTTCCTTCTCCCTGCAAACGTTCTTCTGTCAAAGAGGAATTCACCAGAACATGAATTTCCTCAGCCAGGGTTGCAGGGTTGCTCTGGGTCTGGTGGTTTCTGCAGAGCAAGAAGCATCCTCATCCTCATCCTCATCCCCATCCTCATCCCTGGGTGCTGCTCCTCTCCTGGCTGACACTAGGTGGTAACATCCCTGTTCCTATCAACCCACCCTGGCAGATTTGAGGCTGTTTCATGGTTTTCAACCCTACAGGACAAGCCCTGGAGCTAACAGGACTCCCAAATGTGGCTTTTTCCCTGGCAGAGCTGCTTGCATCTGAACCATTCCAGGGGTTCACCCAGGTCCCCTTCAGTCAGAGGGGGGAGCCAGCAGCCAGGGAGCCCTTTGGCACCTCCCTGCTGTGGGTGCCACCCCCTCAGCACCCTCTTTTCCTGGGCACAGCACTGCCAGGGCTGGGAGCCTCCTG